CAAGCTAAACAAGTTTTCTACTCTAGAGAGGATGAGAGCTCACCGTGGTATGTTGTAATGAAAACACCCCCGAGAGGATACCATGAGTTAGAGACTGAAGAGGATATTTGTTCTGCAACCTTATCAGTACAACATGAAGAAGATATCGAAGATGAAGCATCTGATGATGAGAGTTTTTGTCTTAAGAGTGATTGTGAGGGTGTTCTAATATATGAGTAATGATTAGTTTTTTGCTGTTTCAGGTAAGCAGGTAGAATGAATTCTCAAGGTGTTACTGATAAAGCGCGTCGAAGTAAACGCCAAGCAGGCCTTGATGTTAGCCCTCAAGTTTCTTTAACTAGGAAGAAACACAAGAAGAATGATCAGACGCTACAGTCACAGCAAACCCACTCTGAAGAAGTCGAACAAGAAGCAGAACCCGTAGAGGGAGTAGGGAACCTAGATCGTGAACACTTTGACCCAGATAACACCTAACCACCAGATGACACTCAACCACCAGATGAGGAGGAAGAAGATGACACTCAACCAGGAGATGATGAAGAATGCATTCCTTCTTCTATACCCGGAGTCAGCACTCCTTCAGAGACACAGACCCAACAATCAGATAACCAAGTCAAGAAGACAAGAGGTCCTACAAAAATGCGCAAGGTGGCAAAACATATAGAGGACAAGGTAGAGGTGGAATTTAATGGTCTTGGAGAGCACGTTGGTAGTGGATCAGTGACACTGTCTTCCTTCCTTGGTCCTCTTGTGAGAGAGCATGTTTCTGTGCTGCTAGATGACTGGAGACATCTCGAAGAGAAAACAAAAGACGCTTTGTGGGAGGAAATTCAGGTAATTGTTTGAACTCTCTTTAAGAATATGAAAAATGAATACAAATGTTTATTGAATTTTAATATGTGTTACAGGTCGTCTTTAAACAGATGGGTTGTCTGTGGAGGGCGTCTAAATCTAGACTTTTTTCCCAAGTTAGAGCTATCAAAAACAAGTCTGAAATACAGAAAATTAAACCCAACAACATACAATCTTCTACAGCTTGGAATAATTGGGTGAAAGTAAGATGTACTACTGCTTTTAAGGTAATATCTATTGTGTCTTGATCAATCAGAATATTGAAGTAGGATTAATTTGGATTTTTTTTTTTTGGTTTTGGTAGGAACAAAGTGATAAATACAGGGATCTCAGGAGGGGTCAAATTCCTCACACCACTAGCCGTAAAGGCATGGTTCGTCTTGCAGAGGAGATGGTATGTTTTTCATTTTGAAAGAGTTAGTTAGTGATCATTTAAAATTAACAACCACTCTTGACAACCGTTTTATTATAACTTGTAGAAAAAAAACACTTCTGATCCTAACAAAGTTACGAGAACTAAGGTTTGGGTTGCTGGTCACACACATTCAGATGGAAGACCCGTGCGTGAAGAATTTGCAGATACAATTGTAAGCTTAATTTTGTTGTAACTTGTAGAATAAATTCTGATCTTAACCAAGTCACATCTATTGTTGAATTTATGATTGCAGGAGAGGATAAAGAGAATTGACAGTGAAATGGAGTCAAGTTCAGCAGATAATATCGGTGAAGATGCTGTCTCTCAGGTTCTAGGTAAAGATAAACCAGGAAGAGTTAGGGGGGTGGGCCGAGGGGTTACTGCCACCAAATTGGCATTCTTACATGCTAGAGATTCACATGTCCAGAAGCTTGAAGCTACTCAAGCAGAACTAATCAACAAGGTTCAAGATTTGCAAAATGTGGTCAAGAACTTAGCCGGGTTAAAGGTATCTCCCTTATTGTTGTATTATAATTATTTGAACTTATGTGGTCTATAAGGTTTTTATTTAACTTTTTTGGGGTTTGTTGCCTTAGAAAAAAACCGGATATGATTCTACTTCTGAGTTAAGCGATGTGAGCAAGGGAGGAATAAGGTGCCAGATACTGGATTGGGTTTCGAATGATGATTTGGTTGTTGCTGAAGGAGAATTCTACTCTAGTGAATCCACATATAAGATTGGTCGAATTCCATTGGGTCCTAATGCGGCTGCGGTAGTAGTGAAGTCTGTATCAGTAGTAACAGCGCTTATATGGAGACCTACTACAGCTTGTGTTTCACTTACTCAGGCAGTTGGAGTCAAAATTGCATGGCCATCTGAGAAGCTTATCTTGGACGATGGTATTGACTTATCAAACAATGGCAAGACCGATGGGTCAGAGGTAAATGGAATGTGTTTTGTGTTGTTTCATAATCACTTTATATCTATTACTGATTTTAATTATCGATTATGCATGATTCAGGATATAGCTGCAACTTTAGGAAAAGTCAAAATATATGATTATAGGAAATTAGAAGATGAGTTGATTGCTGAGGGCGTATTGTTGACAACTGAACCAAGAGAACTGGTGAATGAAATCCCTCTGGGACCGAATGCTGCAGTTCTTAGAGTTGACCTGGTTTTTAAACGTGATGCCTTTCTATGGAGACCAACGCCTCAGATGACAAAGATGGGTGATGCAGTACATGGAACAATTGCTTGGCCTGTAGATAAGCTAAGACTACCTGATCCACATTCACCTACTGAATCAAACAAGAAATCCAACCAGGTTAGTTTGTAAAACTCCAAATGAAATTAGATATTGTAATGTTTCTGTCGATGATATTCTGATGAATGTGTTTGACATTTATTGGATTTAGAGTGGTAACAGCAGTGGTAGTAGCAACAAAGGTGGTAAACAGAAGTGTGCTCTCTTGGACTGTAATAACTCAGGACATAGAGTTGCATTAGGTCGGGTGTTCTCAACTGATCCAACAGAGAAGGTGCATTTTGTACCTTTAGGTCCCAATGCTTCGAAGATCTGGGTAGAGGTTTCTGAGTTCGATGGGGCACCAGTATGGAGGCCAAATTCTGAAATCGAATACGTAGGTGATGCAGTAGGAAGCACCGTGGCTTGGCCTAATGATAAGATTGTTTATATCTAAGACAAGTCTGTTGCTTTTGTGTGATCTCTTTATATTTGTAGTGTGAGAACTGAGAAAACTTATGTAGAATATCTTTGTGTAAGAATCTTTCAAGTCTAATACAAATTTATGTTATGTTTCATAATCCTCAATTGGAGGGTATAAAATATATAAATATAATAAATATATGTTTATAATTTATAAATATATATATTTAAATATATAAATATTTATATATAGCACTTATGTAACTGCTATCATATTTTTAACCGTAACAGAAAGAAAACGCTATTAATAAAAATAGTAATAGCATTATTTAGATGCTGTAGTAGATTTAACCATAACACAAATAAAACGCTATTAATAAAAACAGTAATAGCATTAATAAGATGCTATTAAAACATCATTTATTGCAGATAGGAAAGCGCTATAGTAGCGAAAGAAAAGATAGCAACGCGAAAAACCGCTATGTAATGTCTCTTACCTATTATTACGGGCGATGATACATCGCTTCAAAAACCGCTATCGTATCATTAGATAGCGGTTTTCGTCCGCTAATAAAAGCCATTTTTCTTGTAGTGAGTTATTAAAAATCTAGCTGACCCAATTCTTCTTTATTATCAACCCAGTTATAGAAGAGGATTTCCAAAATGTACACTGTAAACAAAGCGATGACACTGAATGGCATATATGTTTGAAATATTAAATATAAAACAATAGCAATTAATATCTAATGAGAATCAATATTAAAGGAATTAGAATTTAGCACATTTATGATCCTCGACTATACATACATTGACGTCTCTTCTATGCGTACCATCTGGAAGCATAACTAGAAGTGTTGAACTGCACCCGTGATGTCTTGAATACCAAACCATGTTGATGTCATTTTTTCAACTAATTTATTGAAGTTATCATGAGTGTTCCTCATCTGCTGAATCTTATCCAGCTCTTCTCCCTACCTAGTTTACCACGAACAGATTTAGTCAATTGTACATAGAGTAGCATTTGGGAGGTGACATAAAGAGAACAAATTTGAGACATTGCAGAACAGTAATCATCTCCTTCCCTAAATGTAGCTTAATCTATATCAGTCTCACTGTAAACTGCTGCTGATCATGTTCATTACAAGAATTTTGGCTGTTCCTCATATCAGATGTTCGAGCTCCCATAGCCTTAAGATCATTGACACCTTCATGTCCACCATGAACCTTCCCGATTCCGCATGTAACCATCTTTGATCTAGATCTACAAACTCGTGCGGATGTTAAATTTTACACTTTTATAAACTAAGATTTTGTTTTTTCATAATTAAAGCTATATGTTTTATATGTGTCATCATTTAATTAATTGAATATTTTTAAGTTTTATACATCAGAACTGAGCACTAATCAAATCAGGTAATATGGTCACTTTTGGTTATTTGGTTAACTTTAGTTTGGATTCAAAATACCAGAATCGAATCGGTTAGTATGTTTATTTTTGGTACAAATATCCGTACATGTTTCAGATACATTAGTTTTTGGATATTTTCAAATTTTCATACATCAAAATCGAGTTCATACGGACTCCTTATTCAGGCAAGACAATAAAGTGAAATGATTACAAGAAATGAAGTGATTATTTAAAAAAGACAATAAATGAAGTGATTATTTAAAAAAGATAATATATAAAATGATTAGAATTAATTAAAAATGAGTGAAAATCTGTAAAAAATCACTTAAAATAGGTAGTGTTGTTTTGTATTTTGTTTTAATAGAATAGATAAGACTTATGCCATTTGTTATCTGTCGACATTATATTCACAGAAACTAAGATGTGTGAGCATCAGTTAGAGCTTTTGTGAGAACATAAAACGTTATTGAGAGTTGTTACAGACGATTAAACTAAACGTAATCTTCTTTAGAAGACCATAATATTAAAACATTGTTGAAGTACTGCATGCTTTTCCATATTTCAAATTGAAAAAAAAACTCAAATCAAAATAAGATTTAAAGTTCACATACTCAAACAAAGCAAGAACATGAAAATGTAAACAAAGTTCACAGACTCAAACAATGTCATTGTCATCAATCTTCCAAGCTGGGAGTTCTCTGCGGCTGTTGTTCTTCAGCAACTTGTCATATAATCCAAAGTTACTAAGACGCTGGTACTGTTTGTCCATTCTGCTGAAGAGTGTTTCTGTCAACTTAAGTTTTTTTACATACATCTGGATCACAATACCAAACAGTTTAAAATACATTCTCATTTCAATGGTTAAGCATATATAAAAAGTTTGAAATAATGTTTGTTTACCTTTACTTCTTCAATCGCAACCTCATCTCCAACATTAAAGGGTTGCCTGATGAACAATAAATTCATCAAATGATTTGTAGACCTTGTTCAAAAAAATATTAATGATATATTTAATGATTTAAAGAAGAAAATTCAAAAGTTATTAACTATGTTTGATGTTTCTTTTAAAATTATAAGCTCTAATATAGCAATATATCTAATATTTTAAAGTTTTATCATAATTTTATCTATATATTTTTTTAAATCTTAATTTTTACTTATTTTTTTCTTAATTTTTTCTTATTTTTATATTTGGTGTCATGTTCTACCGTTCCACTTTCACATGCTATTAGACAGCCATAGATGCTGCATCAGTGTCTTCCAGTGATAAATCAAGACATCTGTGTCTTTTGAAAGAATGAACCTGCAAAATGGAATACCATTACTTACATCATATGAAAATCATTATAAAATGTACCTAAGTCTTGAAAGTTGAACAATGTGGATTTTTACCATCCATTCTTGTAGGAATGATAAACTAATATGGATGTCCTAATTATCCTCATGAGTCATCCAAAAGATATCTAACGTCTTCGAAGCATCATCGTTCCAAACCTTACAATATATATCCAACAACAACATTCTCCAACTATAAAATCCCAAATATTAATTTCATTAGAAAACATAAAACTAAATAACTATATTAAAGAGTAAATATTTAGCAATAAAATAAAAATTTCTATTTTAATTAATTTGACAAAATGAGTAAAAAGAAAATAACACTTTTAACTTAGAATAAAATAAAAATATTTAAAGAATTGTTTACGTATTCATATCACATTAATAAATAAATTATGTATATATTATTCAATTTATTATAAATTTTAAATATAAGTATACTAATATTTTAGTTAATCGATTTCATCAGTTTATCGTTTTATATACTCAACCATATCAATATACCATGTTTTTTTAAATAGCATCCATTCAGTATATTCACTATTACTAAATCCAAAAACCGTTGGATCTATTTCAGTTCGATTTTATTGGATTGAAGACCCCCTAAATTATAAATTACTAATCCAGTTGACGGTTAGATACAATAAAACATTTACTCCATATAACATATAAATTTTTATTTTCTGTGTATGAATGGTATATCAAAAAAAAATTTAATACTAGAAAATGTTAAAAATATTTACTTCCAAATTATTTATAAAAATATAGATCTATATAACTGTAGAAATAAATATCCGCGCATGTGCGCAAATCAAACTATATTCTTATTTGTTTTTTTTTTTTTTTTTTGACAACGAACGGCTGATCTATTACTCAAGTTTGAGGTGGTCTGGAAATCCAGACCGGAATAGAACAACCTACATACACCATTCTTATTTGTTTTTTATAGTTGATTTTTATATCTATATAGAATATACCTTTTGGATTTTTTTGTTCTCGGAGTCAATCAAACTATTATAACTTACTAAACAATCACAGTTAAGTCAACCATGTAAATAATTTTTATGGAACAAAGATTATTCAAATTGTAAATTATTGTAAATATTGTTTTTGGATAATATAATCCTGAAATATTGTTTACCAAATGTGGTAAAGCATCTAAAATGTGGGCATATACCTACGTCTTATGTGTATACTAGGGTTTAACCCGCCCTACGGGCGGGTAAGCAAATGATAATACAATATAAATAAATATTTAAGATTTATTAAACTTTGCACCTTTATATTTTAAATAAATTAAATTTTATAATTTGAATTTTTTTTTAAATTGCTACCTATTTTTGTACCATTTAAAGATTGTATACCTGCTAGACTATCAATTTTGTTTCATGAAAATGAATTTGTTTTATTGTTTTAAATACTTTTATAATTTGACTATGATATAATAAGAATTTTTTTAAAAAAAAATTGTGTTACTTGTGTTAATTTCTATTATTTTCCTTTTTATATGTTTGTTTTGCCTTTTATTTTATACAATTTTTATTAAACTGTTGACTATATGGTGTGGAAAAGTAATAGTCGATTCACCGTAAAAAATATATATATTTTAAGTCAAGCACGCACATGAAAATCTAATACTTATTGATCATTACAATTTGAATAGGGTATGTAACTATGCATGTATTGTCATATTTGAAGATCATAAACCATGTTAACTGGAAGAAGAAAAAAAAACTAATTAGGATTTTCAAAATACGTGTTACAATTTTTTTATATGAATATGTTTACGATGTTTATATCAGCATAGAGAGCCTCTCTCGGTGGTGGAACGAAATTATTTGTACTATTATTTTACCTTTTGGTTAATTAACCACACACTATAACGTAATTCGCTGCTTGTTTCTGTCAACCCAATATTATTGGTTGTTTGTAGAAAACATTTTGGACTTGCTGTCGGATGCTGAAAGCATAATTGAAAATCTTAGGGCNATGTTTATATCAGCATAGAGAGCCTCTCTCGGTGGTGGAACGAAATTATTTGTACTATTATTTTACCTTTTGGTTAATTAACCACACACTATAACGTAATTCGCTGCTTGTTTCTGTCAACCCAATATTATTGGTTGTTTGTAGAAAACATTTTGGACTTGCTGTCGGATGCTGAAAGCATAATTGAAAATCTTAGGGCGTTCACGGCAGCTGACCGTTCAGGTTATAAAAGGTAATATGCATCTAGGTGTTTGTTTTTCCTTCTAAAAACCATAAACGAAAGAAAGTAATTAATTTAAATATATTCTCTTGACTTTTGGGGTTACTGGTGGATGGTGGAGAGAAGTACGAAAACCTTATGGTTGAAGTGTTAGTGAAGATAGTTAATACATCAAACTGATATTAGATATGTTTACATTCGTAGATGAAGCAGTTGAAGCCGAAAGAAAATATTAAGGATATGTCTTTGTTGTCAAAGACCCGAAAACTATTATCTACAATGAAGCGTGAAGATGTAATCTACGGGTACTTGAAAAACAATTCTGATTAACCAACTAACTCTTCTGGTGAATAATACATTAAGTAACAATTAATTTTGTACCATCAACATGCTAATATTAATAATTGGATTCTCTCTTCTCATGTGTGATGTTGTTTCAAAGCGCATTGGAATTCTGAGAATGCAACAGATGGCTGCTGCAGCCATCTAAGCTCAATTGGCTTATAAAGCAGCAAATGGTGGAGAACAATTTGGTGGAAATTAAGTTCCAAATTTCAATATTCATGTACACCAACGCCTGCACAATGAACTTTAAATGTTTTTTTCAGATGCTTATATCATCTAAGAATGTTCTCTGATTCTCTCTAGAAATCTGGGTTCTCTGTCCTTTTTTTTTACTCCAAGTAAGTCGTTTTCTTTCAATTTCACATGGAAAATGCAGTATCACAAATTTTAATGTAAAACAAAAAGTTCATAAAAGAAATCTAAAGAACAACGGTAACTGAAGAAAGAATGTTTATTAATCTCATCTGTATTTTGTGTTTTGATTGAATCAAGATCTGCTAGATTGTTGAAGCTTGTACAGAACTTGAAGCTTTAATCACTCCTTGGCCTTGAGCTTCACCAAGAGAATCTTGTTAAGTAAAGCAAGGGTTGCATTACTTTTCCTAACCTTGAAACGAAAGAAATACATGAGTTCAAAACTGATTCCCGGGTTATAATGTATCAAATAAAGGTTGGTTGTATCTGATATACCTGACCAGCAAAAAAGCCTCGGAGATTGGGTTTCCTCTCTGGTACAGCTCATGCTGATTTGGGATTTATCAAAAACGCATGACAAAGCATATTCCACAAATATTAAGTTTAAATATTAGTTTAACTAAAATACCTGACATCACAAACTGCATGTCGTCATCCACCATGCACATGTGAAACACCTGAATCCACGCTGCAGTTTTAGGTAGCATTTAGAGTGGGAGCTGTAGCCCCATCCATGAGTGGTGTCAATGTGACTGACCTCGGCAGTGCAAAGAAACTCTGCAGTCTACATGGTCCACATGAGGAAGGAAGTTATAAGCATAGGGGGGTCATGTGTATGAGCTAACATATAGCTAAAAACGCATGGAGTTCACCAACCTGTGGTGAAGAGTTAAGAGCGTCAAAGTCACCGGTTCAATTTTCTTCACACCCCCATTCTTGGAACTTGTGGAGCTACTACCATCATCAGATCCATATAATCTATTAAGAAAAAAAATTTCCCTCATGTTTGAGAGCAACGTCCAATGATTTCTTAGACAACAGTTACAATTTCGTAAGTCTTACGTTGCAAGACCGTAACACATTGAATGGCCTGATTCTCATCGCTTAAGGTGGTGTTGATGCCACAAACATCACCCAAAAAATCTGCAAGGTAATATTTGTAACAAACGGTTAATAAAGAAGGAAGTAGTTGTAGCCTATCATTGTTAGAGATCGGGAAAAGCATGTCTGGCTAAACAGACCGACAAATCTACGTTTGTATTAGCCAAAACCTAAGCCGTTCAAATTTCTGAAGCCTGAAGTTTTTTGTTAGAATAATAGCAGTCGGCTCCATCAGCTCCACACCTCAATCAAAACTATCTAAAACTAATTAAAGAAAGACGCTAAACGGTCGATACCTTGTTGTCAAGAAAAACCAGGTCCACCCTCAGAAGCTCACAGACTTTCTTCAGATTCCTTGCACCTCAAAATCGCAGAAACTGACAATTGTTTCCTTACCACATCCATACTTCAAATCGGAAAAGGGGATCTGGTTAACCGCCATCGGTGGATGCTCAGTTTCTAGGGTTTATGATAATGATTTCAAGAAGTCTTTTGAATCCTCTGAACCACCTTCGGGCGCCGTGTACTATAAAGAAAACGAAGAGGTTCACATCAATCTTAATGAAGGAGGTGTGGATTAATCAATTGGAAACTGGAAATAAATGGCAGACTTAAAGAGATGCGAGAAGTTACGGATCAAAAGGTTTGTCTGAGTGTTTCTGAAATTGTAGGGGTGAAACACCGATGGGAAGAAGAAAGGTGGGGATTGGGAAAGAACCCTGATTTCGTTAGGCCTAAAATGATAACGATGCCCAATTTTGAATCAGATTCGACGGGTGAAAAAAAAAGTGAGAGGCAAATAACCAACAACGTGTTGACACGTGGCATAAAATCNATCAAAAGGTTTGTCTGAGTGTTTCTGAAATTGTAGGGGTGAAACACCGATGGGAAGAAGAAAGGTGGGGATTGGGAAAGAACCCTGATTTCGTTAGGCCTAAAATGATAACGATGCCCAATTTTGAATCAGATTCGACGGGTGAAAAAAAAAGTGAGAGGCAAATAACCAACAACGTGTTGACACGTGGCATAAAATCCCCATATCAAAAAGAAGCGACGTGGACGATTGTGGGGGCAGATAACCCAACTTTATTATTATAGATATATAGATGAAGAGATGTGCATATAAGTACCATACACACTGAATAAATGGGGGAGGGGGGAGGAGGAGCGAATCATTTTCAACAACAAAAAGAAGCATTTTCAACAA